CGGCCCCAGCCCCCTGGCCCCCCCCCCCCCCTGCCCCATACACACAGCCCCAGGCCCATGGCCTCGCACCCACCCTGCCACGCACACATGGCCTCAGGCCCATGGCCTCACACCCACCCTGCCACGCACACACAGCCCCAGGCCCGTGGCCTCGCACCCACCCTGCCACACACACACAGTCCCAGGCCCGTAGCCTCACACCCACCCTGCCACGCACACGGCCACAGCCCGTCCAACCCACCCTCACGCCCCTGCCCACCTCTTTCTGGGGGCGGCTGAGTGCATTTGGAATCTCACCGCTGGCCCCCCTTGTTTTGTGCCACCTGCTTCTCCTCAGGCTTACTCAGCCTTCCAGCTGAGGAGCCCACAGCGCTCCCTCTGGGTCAGCGAGCTGGGGCTGGGAGGTGTCCCTACCTTGTGGGGCTGAGTGTGCCACTCGCACAGCACCCACTGCCAGCCTGGTGCTGAGTCCGGGCATGCCAGCTAGCAGAACATGCCTGGGCTGTCCCCATCTCCTGTCCCCATGGGCCCTGCCTCAGTGGCAAAGGTCCTCCCAGCCCCAGGACTGGCTGCCAGGAGGGCGCTGTGGGGCTGACGGAGCACCCAGCCCCACAAGCCCAGCCTACCTGCTCCGATCACCTGCTCAATTTTGACACAAGAGATGTCAATTTCCTTTGCAAACTCCCTGACGGCCTCATTGGGATCCTCGTAGGTGAAGGGGTCAATGTAAATCTTCATCCCAGGTGTCACTGTGAATAGGGGGGAGCGTCAGAGAGGCAAAGGGCAGGGCAGCCAAACAGCAAGAAGATGCACAAAGGGAAGGAAGAACCCACGTGCACGTGCATGCGTGTGTATGTGTGTGCGTTTACATGCATGTGCATGTGTGTGCACGTTTGCGTGTGCATGTGTGTGTGCACGTGTGCGTGTGTGCGCATGCTTGTGCATGTGTGCAAGAGGGAAATGCTGCTGCGGGGAAGGGGAGCAGGGCAGGAGACAGGCGCGTGGGAAGGCGCCGGCACCCCCAGGAACAGCGCAATCCATGCAGAGCGTCTTGCTCGCCGAAGCCGGCTCTCCCCAGCAGGCCCCTCCCAGACACAGGGCTCCCCTGGCATGCAGGAGCCTGGCGCCTGGGCCAAGGGAGCCTGCAGCTTATCCCACCCACTGGTTCCCCAGAGACACTGACAGGGCCTGGCAGAGCCGGCCCCAGCGAGCCCATCGCCCCCCAGGCCCAGGAACCTCACGCCCAGCGGGGCTCCCCTGCAGCAACCCAGAACCACCTGAGTTCATATGGGGGAATCCAGACGGGAGCCAGCGAACCCCTTGCCCATAAGGTGTCTCGCCTTGGGGACGCCCAGCCCCAGCTCAGAACACAGCAGCCTGCCCACTGCACTGCAGAGCCGGCCCCAGCGAGCCCATCGCCCCCCAGGCCCAGGAACCTCACGCCCAGCGGGGCTCCCCTGCAGCAACCCAGAACCACCTGAGTTCATATGGGGGAATCCAGACGGGAGCCAGCGAACCCCTTGCCCATAAGGTGTCTCGCCTTGGGGACGCCCAGCCCCAGCTCAGAACACAGCAGCCTGCCCACTGCACTGGCTGCCCCCCAGGTGCAGGCAAGCCTCGGGCAAACCTCCCGTCCCTCAGGCCGTGGGGCTGGCGATGCCTGCCACCTATGACTAGCAGGGCACTTGGGCTCCCAATCCCGTCCCCCTGCGCGCATATGAAAATGCTGGTTTATGTGACTTGCTGAAGGCCACACAGCCAGCCAGTGGCAGAGCCGGGGAGCTAGAGAATCCAGTCTGGTGTCCTGCCCGCACGATCTCCTACAAATAACTCCCCAGAGGCAGGGCGGTGGGGAGGAACCCAGCAGCCAGACAGGACAGGGCCCAGGGAGGGAGCCCATCTGGAACTCACCACTGCACACTGGACTCATCCGGGGCAGTTGGCAGAGCCCTGCTCCGGCCTGTCCCAGCCCTTGGGCTGCGAGGGGTACAGCACGGGGCTTCTAGCGGAGCAGACCCGGCCGGGGGCAGAGCCGGTGCCAGGCTGCAAGGAGGCTCACTGCAGAGAGCAAGCCTAGGGCGCTCCCAGGCGGGACGGGGCTCGTGGCACTTCCACCAAAGCCACGTGCACGGCTCCGGCACCGTGGCTGGGCACAGAGCAAGGCCCAGTGGTCGCCCATGTGCCATCCCCGGCCACACGCGCGTCTGTGCACACGCCCCGCAGGGCTGCCCCGGCAGACAGTACAGCCCTCGCCAGCTGCGCTGACCAGACTTCTCCTGCGGCAACTCGGCTGCCCGGAGCGGCCGATGGGGCCACACCGGTGTGCCCAGCTACGCGGGGCACAGGGCCCGGCGGCAC